TCTGGGCAGAAAAATGAGGAAAGGAAGCAGAGGCTGCCACAGATCAATATAGAAAGAGAGGTTTGGGATTTTCTCCAGGTTGATCTGTCCCTACAGTTAGGGGAAAAGAGATGAGTGGGACTGCACGTGCTTGGCAAGTGCAAGGTCCTGAGTTCAATCCCCAGTACAAGAAAAAAAAAAAAATACTGAGATACTTGATAACAAGATACTCTCCTTATCTCAGTATTTATTACCTAAAATCTAGCTGCTGGAAGCTTTAAAAGGAGGCATTCATTAAGCAGGAAAATATTCACTGAAAACCTGACCAGTTCAATGTCATCAAATCTCTGCACTTATTCCTAGAACCTTTCTTTCCCCAACTCATTAATCTTCCTTGGTCAGCCAGACCTTACTGCACTGTAGGAGCAAGCAAAACTTCATGATGCAAACTAACTGCATCATGAATTACTAATTTCTCAAATGCTTCAAGAGAATTACTCAAATATCTAAGTACCAAGAGAGTAAGATAATTAGAAGTTTAAACATTTAAAAAATATATTTTCCAAGTTATTAAAAGCTCCAATTTTGATAGAAAAATTCTCCCTCAAAATCCTTTTTTGAGTGCATTTCAATTTTAATGTTATTATATATAAAAGTAAGTTGTTTATGTTTAGTTTCATTTTTATAGGTCCTAATGAAATTTTTTAAAATTATACATATAAAACTTTAGTCCTTCCTCCTGTCCGCCCACCGCCACCACCACCAGTCCTCAGCCTGGGGGATCGAACCCAGGGGCACTGTACCAGGAAGCCAAATCCCAAGCTCCTTTTTAAATATTTTACTTGAGATAGGTTCTCAATAAATTGCTCAGGCAGGACTCAAACTTTCCATCTTCCTGCCTCAGCCTCCCTGAATGCTGGGATTACATATGTGTACACCATACCTGATTAATAAATGGCTTTTTCCAGTACATATTATGCTTGGATGGCCAAACTCTGCTCTGAATAGTGATACTGTACACTTGGAATAAGGAAGCTACAACAAACATCACCTTCAGGTATATATAATAAAGATGAGTCAGATCATATCTACCCAATGCCTGCCATCAATAATTCCTTGTTTTCCCAAAAGATTAGCAACAAAAAGCCTGTGTGCTTATCTCAAAAAGAGGGTAGGAATAGGGAAAGTCTTGTCATCTTGAGAGGAAGAAAGAGCTTGGAGAAAAAAGCTGACTGAATTTATGAAGCTACACCAGAAAAGAAAGGGTTTGGCAGCACTGGCCTGGACCCAAGAAGAATCTTTGGACGGCATAATCCACTTTACTTGGTTTATGGACTAAGAAAACGAGTTCTTAGGATACCAAGGACTTAACTATCATCCACTACAAACAGCATTTATTATTGAAGCAGGAATTCTGTAGAACTTTCCTAAAAAAATGTTTTCTTGGGTAGTGAGAGATCCAGAATTTGGCATCCTGAAAAATTATTCACCTCCCTTCCAAATACACTTAATTTCTGAAAGGCATCCTTTCCCCTTTTCCCTTCAATTTATATTTGAGGTTGGTAAAAGCCATCACCTGTTGGGCAGGGGATTTAGTTCAGTAGCATTGCGCCTTCCTCGAAAGCGCAAGGTCCAAAACCAAAAAAGCTAGCACCTATTAAAGAGAAAGCACCCACAGAGGAAGTAAGTGCCCAAAGATCATTTCACTTCAACCCTGATGAAGCGCCAACTAGTTATGGAACTAACTGGTACGTGAACTGGAAGGACCAACGTGCTACGTACCCCAGAGACAGAAAAACACCAAGGGCCTTCGAGGACCTGTCAGTCAAACAGTTAACAGCCTGCGACTGGATCTTGCAGGAGGGTCTTTAGCTTGGTCTGGAGAGTTAACGGAGAGTTCCTAGACCACGCAGGGAGATACTCCAAGGCCGGGGGTGGATGTGCTGGCTGGCACTAAGATGCCAAGGGGCAGGACCTGAGAGGCGCCTCGGTCGCCCGCTGCTGGGTGTTGCCAGCAGGGAAGCTCCAGGAAAGCATTGCCCTTCGCCCCGCTAGGGACAACATGAATGTCACTGTCCCCATCCTCAAAGCCTTGGCCATTTACTAGGTCCCGTAACCTTCACTTCCTCCGGTGGGGTTGCCAGATTTAACGATTAAAACTAAATGACGACCACGGTCGGGGATGTAGCTCAGTGGTGCCGCGCCTGCCTGGCAAGCACAAGGTCCTGAGTTCGATCCCCGGGACCGAAACAAACCAAAAAAAAAAAAGCCTAAATGATGACCGATTAAACTGGAATTTCCGATAAACAGTGAACTTTCGGCTTTAAGCATATTCATGCACATGTACTAACGCCCATTCGCGGTCTATCTGCCATCCCAATAGGTCACGGCATCCCACAGCAGGGTGGTCTGAGCCACTCAAGGGAGCCGTGGGGGACAGGATCCCCGGGTTCTCCAGGTCCACACCGCCGCCAGCCCTCCGCTTCCTCCAACCCCCCCTCCAAGCCTCGTGTCCGCAATGCCCGTCCCGTGGCCCACCCCGCCGCGTACTCAGAGGTCGCAGTTCCTCCAGCTCCCGCCGCCCTGTGGGGCTGCCCCGCCGAGGCGCTCCGGCTCCCCACCAGCCGCGACCCGGCCAACGCAGCACGGCCCCAGGACATGGCCAGACCTCCCTGCCGGAGCGGGAGAGCGCACCTCTGTCCGCGGCGCAACAGGCCCCGCCCCCTGCGGCAGGCCCCGCCCCACAGGGCTGCCCGTGCCGCCGCCGGTCTTCTGGCGCAGCTGCGCTTGTCCTACCTGCCCCGCCCACCGCGGACCAGCGTGAGGGGCGGGGCCTAGGCGCGGAGGCCCAGCGACCCCGCCCACAGAGTCGCCTGCAGGTCTCCGGGGCTCCGTAGGCCTCGAACCTGTTTCTGTGAGGGTTTTGGTAGCTTATACAGGGTCGTAGGCGCGTAGAAACATTCTGGGGAGACGGAGAAGAAAAATAATGACTGTCCGAAAAAGAATCAAAGTGCCTGGATGTTTACAGGAGGATGGTGGCACAGTCACAGCTTCCTGGGCGGGGACGGCCTTCTGCGTGGGTGACACCTTGGATCAGGTTGTTGATGCGTCATGGGACTGCTGGATTGTACACTGAAAAGTAATCCAGTGCGAATGCTCCCTGTAAAGAGACACTGTTCAAGATTGTTTGAAGATAAGAATGAAATTAGAAAATAAAATAGCCCGGAGATGTTTTGCCGTACCTTTGAAAATGGGCCAGAGCTGCTAAGGACAAGATTGCCCAAACCACTCAGAGATGGTAATAATAGCCCTTTGTGCCTCTTTGTAGACAGTCAGGTGGATCAACAACTATTTTTATTGACGTCTCTGACACCTACTTGTTAAAGGTCACAAATGGTATGTCTAAAATTCTAAACGATTAGAACAATCCAGACTTTTGAACCCAGGGCCTTTACACTGAGCTACATCCCCTGCCTGCCTTTTATTCTCTCTCTCTCTCCCTCTCCCTCTCCCTCTTCCTCTCTCCTCTCTTATCTCCTGCTTCAACCTCGGAGAATGCTGGGATTACATGCGACCCCCACCGGGCTTGCCTCTGATCTTTTTTTGTCTTAAGTGTTGAACTAAATTCAAGGTTCGTGTTATTAAGTTAAGGTACAAAATTAGAACCTTCTGCTTCTGACCTTTCTTTTCCTACTTTCAAATGGTATATTTCCCTGCTTTATAAAAGGATGAAACTTTGTTGCAAAGCAAACATCTCCAAAGGATGTGAAGTCATTTTTCATAAACCCAAATTTAACTTTAAGAATTAATGTGTGTTACCTATAATGTTGTAGGATTTTTTTTTATCAAAAGACAACTGTTTAGGAAATTTACTGTGTTAACTTTTGTTTTTAAGTAGAATTTTGCCTTATCTCAAATTGTTATATGAAATGAAGACCCCTATGCATTGAAACTAGCATGTAACAGTTTAATACTCTATAGATGGATGATACTAATCACAGAATTTACTGGACACATTTTTCTTTGAAAAAAGATGCCAGGGCCAGGGATTTAGCTCAGTGGCACCACACCTGCCTCTCAGGAACAAGGTCCTGAGTATGATGCCCAGTACCAAAAAAAAAGGATTCCAGAATGCAAGTATAAAAGCATTATGTCTATTTTAAGCCTAATATATTGATAAATAAGTTCTAGATACCTAATATGCAGCAGTGTGAATGCAGTTAATAATACTATATTGTATACTTGAAATTTGCTGTCTGTAGATCTTAAGTGTTCCCACCAAAAGCAAAACCAAAGTAACTATGAAGAGAAAAGGATATGTTAATTAGCTTGACTATGGTGTGTACAATACAATGTATATTAAAACATCAAGTTGGGCCAGGGATTTAACTCAGCCGTTCCACTGCCTGCCTCAAAAGCCCAAGGTCCTGAGTTTGATCCCTGGTACAAAACAACAAAACAAAACAAAACATCAAGTTGTACACCTTAAATATATATTTTGTCAGTTATACTTCAATAAAGCTGAAGATTTTAAAAAGCAATATTCCGGCTCTTCACTTTCATGTGTAGTGTGACCATACTAAGGGTTGGCTAGCATAGGTAGATCAAGAATGTGATGGTAAATACAGCCTTATGAGTACTATAATTTTTGTGTTTAATATGTTTTGTTGAAATTATTTATGCATTTAATTGTACAAATTGTAGCCACTGAGCTAAATCCCCAGCCCTCTTGTCCAATTTTTTGAACATGGTGTAAAGTTATTGGTTCACAATTAATGCATTATACTTCTTTTGGCATTACTGTTAAATACTCTAGTTTGAAAAGATAACAAATTTATGTGTGACCTATTCATCATTGTCTTAGACTGGACAATGACCTACCCTTGTGTTTTTCCCCCAAATACACTGCAATTGTGATTTAAATCACACTAGTTTAGAAGTATTACTGAATTTCATGGTAAGCTTTTTGACATTATAGACTTTCTCATTCTACAAGTACTAAAATTACAATACAGCTTATTTCTGAGGCACACTTGAGGTGGACTACTTACTTTTGCAAAACACAACCAATTTTCTGACAGCAGCTGGGTGTCCCACAATTCATTTAGTTATGACAATACCTGGAGTTGACACAGACCCCTTAGGTAAAGGACTCAGTCTAGTTCAGACTGCCCCATCCATCAGACACCAACCACAATGGGGTTCCCAGGCTACCTGGGCTTCCGTCTGGCTCACTACTCCCTCTCAGTTTCAGACATTTTGTAGACTGACTCACAGAACTCGTGAAAGTGCTATAGTTACCATTAACGTTTTGCTATAAAGCATACAACTCAGGACAGACAAATGGAAGTGTTTATGTACAGAGCAAGGGGTAGGAGATGTGGGTGCTGGGTGCAGAGCTTCCAGGCTCTCTCTCTTTTTAGCCTAGCAAACTAGTGTGTTTACCAATCTGTAAGCTCCTTGAAACCTTGTCATTCAAGAATATTCATCAAAATTTCATTCCACAGGTAAAATTTATCATATCGTTGGTCATTGGTGATCAAATTCAATCTCCAGTCCTCCCTGCCCGGTGTAAACATGGTGGCTTGAAAGGTCCAACACACTGAGCATGGCCAGCTTCTCCCTTGAAGCTCTCTAAGGGCCCATCTTGAATCCCTCAAGAGCGTGAACTCAGTATCATAGAAATGGGCTCGTAATGAATAACAACACATTCTAACACTCAGGAAATTTCAAGGGTTTTAGAAGCTCAGTGCCAGGAATCAAATCCAAGACAAAGACCAAAATTATTAGATTCAAGAAGGTTCAAGTTCCTAACTAAAAAAGGAAATGGAAGGGCCAGGGATGCAGTTCAGTGGCACTGTGCCTGCCTCACAAGCACAAGGTCCTGAGTCTGAACTCCAGTACTGGAAAAAAAATAAAAAAAGGAAATGGATAAGTAAATATCTTTCTTGGGTATATTAAAATCTGCGAACATAGTAAGAAAAGCATTATCTAAGAATTTATTCAGAATTTTTACAGTGTCTCAACTGAAAGATATTTAAGTGTTCTGAGTCCTGAAAATAAGGGAGTCAAAAAGTGGTTGTTTTATATCTTTATGATAGAATTGGACACAAGACATTCCTAAACCAAGTATTTCCTGGTATAATTATAAAGGAGATAAAAGATATATCACAAATTAGTGGAACTGCTGTTAAAGAATATCATAACTTTACTACTTCAGTTTTCTGAAGAATTAGCATCCAGTATGCCATGAACAATAGATTTAAATCATTTTTATGACCAGAAAATATATTTTCTTAAATCTCCAAATCAATAAACTTGGAAGAACATGACTAGAAAATATGTTTCCTTTTCAAGTGTGAGCAAATTGTGTTTTCATAAAGATCTTGGGTGGTCTACAGCCTTTCACTAGACATTCATAATTCAGATGCCATCTGGTATAATACACAGGACGTTGTTACAGATTTGTTTTTCTAATCCTCACATTTGATGTTTTGTCTGTAGATATCGAAGATGCGATGTCTTATCTTAGTTCATGTTGTCGAAAGGGTGCTAAACTTTTATTTTTATTCTTTTGTTATAATTCAAAAGGAAAAAATAAGTGCAGGAGCTCTATTTTCTACTTTATTGGTGAATATAATCATAGGTGACATTAAAAATTTACTCAATAGTTGTGTTAGTTTTCTATTACTGTAATGAACACCTGCAGTAATCAGCTTATAAAAAGAAAAAGTTGAGGCAGGAGGATCACCATGAGTCCCAGGCCAGCCTGGGTTACACAGTGAGTTCAAGGCCAGCCTGAACTGCATAGTGGGACCCTGTATGGCACCACCACCCCCCTCCTCTGAAAAAAAAAAAAGTCTTTATTTTGGCTCACAGTTTTTGAGGTCTCACTCCATGATTTGTTGGTCCTGCTGCTCTTGAGCCTGTGGCAAGGCAGTACACCATGCCAGCAGTGAGGGGCAAAACTGTTTCCTATTTCCTGACGTGATGGGAGAGAGTAAAGGAGAAAGAGGCCAGGGTCTCATAGCCCCCTTCAAGAACTCACCCCCAATGAGCTAAATGACCCCGACTAGGCCCCAATTCTTAAATGTTGCCCCCAGTAATGGCAAGCTGGGGGACTACTCCTTTGACATATGGGACTTTGGGGGACAGTCCAGATCTGAACTATAGCAATAGATCAAAAGTTTTAATTCTATTTTTCCCCCTTGAGGCAGGGTCTCTCTATGTATTAGTTTAGGCCTCCTTTGCACTCACCATGTAGCCCAGGCTGGCCTCAAATTCATGGTGATCCTCCTGCCTCAGTCTCTCAAGTGCTGGGATTACAGGCGTGTGCCATCATACCTGGCTATTTCTTGACATAAGAGAATGAAACATGTCTTAGAAAATCTAACAGAGGCACAAGCTGATAATAAATAATTTATATTCATAATTGAGTAACATTATTTGGCTAACATTGAAGGATAAGAAATGTCAATGGCATTTCAAAAGAAGTTACAGTGACAGTCTCATTCCACTGCATCTCTTTGTGATGTAGTGATTGATAAAAAGGTGTGAGAGAATAATGCAACAAGAGTGCATCTAATCAAATTCCCTTAAATTTCATACAGTTTCCCTTTAATCCCAGAAGTCTTTCCTGATCAACTTCTATAAAAGAGCAACACTTATCCTGCTTCGTTTTTCAGGGCATTCATCACCATCTGAATTTGTTAATAGGTGTATGTATACTTATTGTTTGT